CTCCTGGTCAGGCAGGGCACATGCCCAGGTTGTAGGCCAAATCCCCAGGAAGGCATGCAGGAGGCAGCCAATTGATGTTCTCTCTCATCGATGTTTCTATCTCTCTTTCCCTCTCCCTTTCTTTCTCTCTAAAAATCAATAAAGGAAAAAATATATCTATGTATATATACTTATATATATATATAATCAGTACAATGTAACTCTTTCAAAACTCATTTCTAGTCAAGAGATTTTCCTGGAAGCAGAGATTATTATCTATATAGTTTGAAGAGATAGACAGGAAAAAAAATTATGATTATGTTATGGAAGTCACTATAAAGCTTATGAAGTATTCGTGTTCAAACAGTAGGCAAACTCAGTTATAAAATGGAAATTTCATCCAGATGCCAAAGATGTTTGAGGAGAGAGCTGAAAGGCATCCTTGTCACTTAGTAGATGCCCATCTTCTGAACCAAACAGACTCTCAGCCATTTGGTCATTTTCCTGTAATTGCCACAAATGATTGTCTTCTCTTGAGCCTCTATTCTGTAATTCCACAAGTGACCCAGCATTTTCCTTAGAGCCCACAGGCTAAATTGGGTCTTTGCAGTAGTTCGCTTTTAATGCCCATAACCTCAGTAGAACTTTTACTTTTCGGCATTAGATACCTTTAAGCAAAAACTTTTCTTTACATTTCCAATTTGCAGTGAGGGTGGTAGATCTAAATGGTTCATCCTGCATGAGCATAGTAAATAACAGGAAACTGGGAAGAAGTATGACTGGGTGTAGGTGGTAAAAGCCATAAATAGGGATAAAACAGAACACACAATTTTCAGCATTTTGTGGGTCTATAAATCTTAACAACTGACATTGGGTTAATAAGTGCTCACTGAATGAATGAATGAATGAATGAATGAGCATCCTACAAAGCATTAAGACATGACATTATTTCACAAATACTGTTCGCTTTCCATTTTTTAGGTACTTATTATAGTTAACAGTTATATCAAAGTGATGATAAAGACCAGCAATTTCCATTGGTTTTCATGAAGTATTTTCTGCCCTGAAAACATTAAAGCTTGTGACTATAGTATAGTCATTGAGGCAGACATGTCCTAGGTGAATGCCTTCACAGTGTGGGAGAGGAGGATTTCACAGTTACCAAACATCCAGAGATTAAATAGCAAAATTAGTATATCGCATGCCAAAAATAGACAAATTTTTCTTGTGCTAAATTGCAGACTACCACCATCCAGTCCAACAAGTTTTCATCATCATCATATCTGGCCTGGACTTCTTTCTTTTTTTTAAATTGAGATTTAATTCACATACCATAAAATTCATCCTTTTAAAGTGTAGAATTCACTGTTTGTCAGTATATTCACAAGATTGTGTTACCATCACCACTGTTTAATTCCAGAACATTTTCATCACCTCCAACGAAACCCCTGTACTATTAGCAGTCACTCCTCGGTCTCCCCAGCCCCTGGCAACCACTTAATCTGTTTTCTGTCTCCATGGAGTTACCTGTTCTGGAAATTATATGTACATGGAATCATATAGTACGTAGCCATTAGTGCCTGGCTTCTTTCACATAGCATACTATTTTCAAGGTTCTTCCATGTTGTAGTATATATAGCACTCGTCACTCTTCTGGGGTGGACTTATGCAATGTCTTTCCACCTTGTCAATGGTTCATCCTGCATGAGCATAGGCAGAGACACAAGCCTAGATAATCCTGTGTCGAGTGTTTTGCCCCCAACTCCCAGTCACCTTCTAGTATTTTCTTGTTTTAATATCTTTGTAGCACTTAATACTGTCTGAAATTGTTTTGTTTTGTTTACTTATTATTATCTGCCAACTCCATGAAGGCAGAACCTTTAGCTGACTTGGTCATTGCTGTATCCCAAGCTTCTAGGATGGAACCTAGACATTGCTCAATTAATATTTGAAGGAATGTATGACCATCTTGCCTAGAACTCCTCAATCTTCCGATCTTGCCCCTACTCTCAGTTCCTAAAGCTGGGTCTTTTCAACTATTGCTAGGCTTTGCTATTGCCAACTACTGCCTCACTGTATTTCTAGCAATTGCCAACTCTCTCATTCTCCTGCTATTCAACCTTCTACCCTTCCTAGTGCTCTCTGTAATGACTTTTCCAGACATTCCTATCACAGGCTAACAGGTCTTGCTAATCTGGAAGTCTATGATCTAACTGAGTCTTAATTCAAAGCAGAAATGAAATGTGTGGTCAGGAATGTAAGAGATAAAAGATGAGAAGAATCAGCATTGTACCCAAAATCAAACTGTCAGTCTAGAACAGAGTAAGTGGGCATGCTTTATATGTTGCACTACACCTGGTAGTATATATACTGATGTACAAGCTCAATTTAAATGAACATAAACTTCTAGGTACAAGGTGGAAGTAAATTGTTAAGCCTTCACTGCGGAGATCTGGGATCTAGCTTCTTTGAAATATCTGCACAAAAGGGGACCATCAGAATCAGCTTCCTTCTATGTGGTCATTTCTGTAATCCCCAACCTTTGCTTCTGGATAAATAAAATGCTTATCATCCCCCATCTATCTTCTTTTATCATCCAAGTCTCATAATGGCACGACCATTAGTCTGCAAGTCTTTCCTTAAGCATTTCTTCAAAAACAACAACTCATATACACAGAGCAAAGTAAAAGCCATAAATAGGGAGTAAAATTTGTCACACGTTTAACCAACAAAAGTTCCAGAGTACATAAGACATCTCTATAAAAGGTAAGAAAAAAACTAACAACCCAGCTGGGGAAGTGGAGGTTGGGGGGTGGAGGAATGAGCAAAAGAGATAAATGGACATCTCACTGAAGAGAAAACGATAGTGGCCAATACATCAGTAAAATTAGTACTGGGAAATGCAAATCCACAGTGAGATGCCGCACCCACCAGATTGGCAAAGATTTTTGCAAGAATGTTCAGTAATGGTAACTTCACGCATTGCAGTAGAGTGTGAATTGGTACAACAAATTCGAAAACAATTTAAAGCAGGGTTTAACTAGACGGTCTCCTATGACCTACTAGCTCTACTCCTACGTATGTACCTTAGAAAACTCTTTCACTAGTGCACCAAGGGACATGTACAAGAACCTTCAGAACAGCCTGGTTCACACAGAAAAAAATTTGTAATGCATGAGTTTTTTGTTTTTGTTTTTCTTTTCCGATCTGCTAGGGGTATAAAAAGCATTGAACCCACTATTTTCAGGTTTCTCTTTAGTCACTGACATCTCACCCCACTTGGCCACTAAAACTAAGGATCTGTTAGTGCACCCTCAGGAGACACAAGGAAGGCAATGGAGAACCAGAACCACCTATATCCTCATTTCATTTACAACTTTTACATCTTTTGCACTACTATTTTATTACTCTGGGAATAAATCAAAGTACAAGCAATCTATTCTCATCTATCCTTGAACTTGGACCAGTCTCTATAATCTGGCCTTGCTCACATCACTCACGTATATAAAGAACATAAAAGTGGTAGCCTTTATTTGTTTGTTTGTTTATTTATTTATTTATTTTTATTTATTTTTCTGTCAGGGTTATACTTGGCCTCTCTGTGTATACCTGACAGAGCACTATCCCAATCTGCCTTGTAATGTAGCTGTTTGAGTGTGAGTTTGGGGTTCTTTACCTAATTGTAAATTCCTTTTGAAAAGTTCCTACTAAGTGTTGCATCCTTAAGGGAAGGCCTTGACTATAGTGAGTTGCACAATGCATGCTTGACACGTTAAAAACCCTTATTGGGGGAGAAGCATCTTCGAAGAGTAGACAGGACAGTGGCTCTCTCACCTGCTGACATCCTTGAACTGATTGTATAAATCTCTCCAAGCATTATCAAATAAGCATAATACTTTAACATCCCAGAAATGCCATGAATATTAAATGAAACAGCATGGGAAAGTGCCAGACTTAATGATGTCCCTTAAGAAATGTTAATGTACTTTCTTCCTACCCTTTCCTCTGAGTTTCTTTCAAAAGGAAGTCAAATAAGATCAATCTTCCCTCCTTTTGTAGAAGGAAATGAAACCTTATCAGGCAGTGTCCTGGAAGAGGCTGTTCCTGGACGGTTCCACTTCGGAAGTAAAGTATGGACAGAGAAAGTGGAAGTCGGGTCACCCTAGAAATGAGATTGCAAGAGCTAGGTAGTGACAGCCACAGAAATACATAGGAACAGGAGTTACCTTAGGCTTGGAAATCCATCCATAAGGCAGCCAGAGACCTTCTAGACTTGTTAGAAAGGCCTTTCTTCTTGACCTTCATTAACAAACAACTGCATTTTCCTAAGTGGTGTCAGACCTTGCAGGAATTTGGGGAACATCAACATCACTGTTGAACCAGTACTGTTTTCATATGCAGCGGGCACTGTGCTAGGAGCTGGGGAGAACCGAGCGGACAGAACAGGGGCGCAGTGGAGCTCAGGGAGAGGACGCGCCACACAGTCGAGCAGGAGAGCAGGCTTCCCGCAGAGGGTGGGGAAGAAGGGCGTCCCAGACAGGTGAAGGCAGGAGACAGAGCAGCCACATTTCAAGTTACAAGTCCTAGCCTCTTAGGACCACCTGGTTTGCATCCCCCTTCGGCGCCCACTCAAATGCTTTCAAAGAAGGGAATGGACGTTCACCGTTTTAATTCCACCCTCCGCTTTCCCAAAGCCCCCAGGTGCGGGGACAACGAAATGCGTGGCAGCCTGAGTCAGACTTCGGGCCGGGGCCGTGGGTCCCGCTGAGGGGTGCAGCGGGGGCGGGCAGCGGGTCCGGAGTGACGTCGGAGAGGCCGGGCGGCGGGCGGCCGGGTGACGCGCCCTGGGACAGCGCCGCATCAGCTCACGTGTCCGCGAGATTTAAAAGTTGGCGGCGCGCGGGGCTGTCAGTTCGGTGGCCGAGCCCCACAAGCGGCGCTCCAGGGACACGGAGGCAAGGCCAGGGCAAAGCTTGGGGCAACGCAGGGTCCCGGTTCCCGAGCCGTCCGCAGGCGCCGAGATGCCGCCAGCAGCGAACCGCCGCCCCGGGCCGCCCCCCGGACTAGGCGCTCCGGCGTCCCAGCTCCTGGCGCTGCTGCTGCTGCTCGCGTGCTGCGCGGGCGCCTGCCGAGGTAAGCCCAGCCTGCCGCCCCGCGCCGCCCCGCGCCGCCCCGCGCCGCCTCGTCCGCTCCAGCCTCCCGCCCCGCTCGCCGCCCCGCGCCCGCCCCGCGCCGCCCCGGCCGCTCCAGCCTCCCGCCCCGCTCGCCGCCCCGCGCGCGCCCCGCGCCGCCCAGGCCACCTCGTCCGCTCCAGCCTCCCGCCCCGCTCGCCGCCCCGCGCCCGCCCCGCGCCGCCCCGGCCGCTCCAGCCTCCCGCACCGCTCGCCGCCCCGCGCGCGTCCCGCGCCGCCCAGGCCGCCTCGGCCACTCCAGCCTCCCGCCCCGCGCCCGCCCCGCGCCCGCCCCGGCCGCCCCGGCCCTCCAGCCTCCCGCACCGCTCGCCGCCCCGCGCCCGCCCCGGCCGCCCCGGCCCTCCAGCCTCCCGCACCGCTCGCCGCCCCGCGCCCGCCCCGCGCCCGCCCCGCGCCCGCCCCGCGCCCGCCCCGCGCCCGCCCCGCGCCCGCCCCGCGCCCGCCCCGCGCCCGCCCCGCGCCGGCCGCTCCAGCCTCCCGCACCGCTCGCCGCCCTCTCCTCCCTCCCTTTCTTGTCTCTGCTCCTTCTCACCCTTGACCACGGGCGCGGGCAGCCATCGGCGCAGGTGCCAGGGGCCACGGAGCGTGTTCCCGGGCTCGGGGCGTTGGCGCCCAGCAGGCAGAGACAGCCTGCGGTGATGAATACTTGCAGGGCTCCCTCACACTCTGCCCCTGTGGCCCACGGGCAACGGGCGTTAAAATAGTGTAAATTAAAATGCTTTCCCTTTTATTGCAATTACTGGAGGGATTGGTGGTCGACGCAAAACTAGAGTGAGCTGGATACTTCACCTGCTGACTCGAAGTCAACTTGGAGAGTGCTCCACTTGTGTTCAGATCACCCTGAGCAGTGAACCAGGCCCCATTCCCGCGCTTTGGAAGTGAACGGCGCTCTGTGCTTTGTAGGTTTCAGGCACCGGGTTAGGAAAAGTAGAGACTTATTTTTTTTATTTTAATTTTATTATTATTTTTTGGTACATGCCCCTAGCGGGAACCGAACGCGGGACCCTCTGGTCCGCAGGCCAACGCTCCAACCGCTGAGCCAAACCGGCCAGGGCGAGACTTGTTTTTCTCTTACAGATTTGTAGAGGCGAGTGTGCAAGCAGGCTTTCGGTCAGTGCTACAGATAAGGTCGGAGAAGGCAGATGTGATTTGATAACAATAGGGACTTCCTGAGTTTGGATTAGAGGAAAGAAGTGGGAGGGAGGTCTGAAGCTTGGGGAGACAAGGAGAGCAGAGCGCACCTCATAGTGGGGAGATCACTCACCCCTTCCCTCAAGGTTACCTTTCCAGGAATCTTTAGGGGACCATCCTTCAGGGCAGCTAACTGCCCTCAGACCATGAATTTTTGAACTTCCTAGCAGGTTCTGTTAGCTTCTCTCTTCTCTTCTGTCAAAAAGAGCGGACTCTTTCATCCTTGTTCAGAATATTGGGGACTTGCAACCACAACTGCAGGGAATTTTTAGAGCATGCAGCCCAGCTCTCCATTAGAGGTGGGAAAACCGAAACTGTTTTTCTTTTTCTAATGTATTTATTTTTATTGCTTTAATGATTTTGATTTTCTCCTTTCCTTGGTGGTGGTGTTGGGAGGGGATGCAGGGGAGGAGTCCCCTGCTTGGAAAGCAAGGCAATTTGACTTTGCAATCTAAGCAGTCAGAAGCTAGAAGACCTCAACCTACCCCATCCCATAGCCAGCAGTGATAGGGTATGACTTATGCAAAGTAATGGTGATAGTTTTCAATTTTCAGTTTGTTAATGGTAAAATTAGGAAGGTAAACTTTATCTAGTTTACTAAAGAAGCAGATAATCATAATTTTAAAAGTACTTTTTAAAAAATTTGTAAAGTAAATGTACTTTCCATGCTATATGTTTGCAGTGATTTTTGCATTAGTGAGAGATAACTGCTTGTGGGGGAGGTGGGGGATTTTCAGGCTCCTAGCTATTGAACAGAAACTCTGGAACGCAACAGCTGCTTTCTAAAAAGGACAAGTCTTGAGCTTTATTTCCAAAACAGCATGACTGCTGTCTGACCATTTGGCTCATAAATATCCCCAATATTTCTCAAGCAAAGGGATGAGACATCTATCACTGCACAGAGATCTCCTAGATGACCCTTTTGTGTCTTCTTTCCCCTTCAGACCTGGTCTTGATACTAAAAGCTAACTGTACTCTACAGCTGTGATGGGGCGGGAGAGTGTGATCTCCTAGTCCTAAATCTCTAAAGATGGCACTGGTGGAGAAGCTTGACATACATAAACACAACTGGGAGATAATTTACCAAGATTAATCATTACAGAAGATGCCACTGGATGCATCTAATTACAACAAAACATGAAGCCAGAGGAAAATAAAATAGTGTCAGCAGTTGTAGCATCCTTGGCAAAATTAGCAGAGCATGCAATAGCAATGAGAAGATAGGCCAGTCCGATTGTGTGAATGGAAACAGTTTACTATTCCGAGAACAATATTAAAATAAAGAAGGAAATTTCCTCTAACAGGGGAACATTTGGGATATCTGCAACAAACTATCCCTTGATTGATCTGTGACAGTAAGTAATCAAGTGCCCAAGACTAAATAAGTGTCCTTTTCTACTCACTGAAGAATTCTTAAAATGCATTCGTACTCCCAGCTCCAGGCAACCACTAATCTTTCTATCATTATAGATTCACCTTTACTGGAAATTCCATGTAAGTGGAATCATACAATATTTAGTCTTATTTGACTTGGCTTCATATGCCTGACTTCAGCTATGTTGTAGTATAATATCGGTACAGAAATTCCCCGACTAGCAATGGCTCTATTGTTGGACTTTGTCATGGTACAAAGTAAAATGCATTCAGTAGAAACCATATTTTGAATTGTGATCGTTTCCCAGGCTAACAATATGGAATGGTTTGCAAAAGTAGGTTTACAGTTGTTTGTATGGAAAATAATACAATAATTAATAAATAATACAAGAATAAACCCTGTGTTTCACGTATCCACAACTGTAAACCTACTTTTGCCCCACCCTGTATGTGGTATAATACTCTTCTGTGATGCTAGACAGTGGCAGTAAGCCACAATTCCCAGTCAGCCACGTGATCATGAGGGTAAACAACTGACACTCTGTAGTGTCCTATGTTGCCATCATTTGGGGGATATTGTGTTTAATGTTTTGCACCCCATCATGGCTATGAAACGCCCATCTGTGTCTCCTGCTTATGGTGAAAAAAAGAAGAAAACAATTATTATTGAGATGAAACTCAAAATAATTGCCCAACTGGAGGCTAATATAAGTGTTCTGAGCACATTTGATGTAGGTTAGGCTAAGCTAGGATGTTCGGGATGTAACCCCATCATAAGTTGAGGAGCATCTGTAGTTTATTCCTTTTTGTGGCTGAATAGTATTCCATTGTGTGGATATACCACATATTTAGACCGATTCACCAGACAATGGATATTTGGATTTTTTCTGCCTTTGATTATTATGAATAATGCTACAATGCACATTCATGTACACTTTTTTGTGTGTTTCTTACTGAGAGAAATGAGAAATATTATCCAAAAATAAACTACAGTCATGTGCTGCATAATGACCTTTCAGTCAATGATGCAAGTCCCAGAAGAGCACAAGAGAGCTGAAAAATTCCTGTTGTCTCGTGACGTCCTAGCCACTCAAATGTCCTAGCACAATGCATTGGTTGCATGCTTGTCATGACGCTGGTGCAAATGAACCTACTTCGCGGCCAGTCGTAGAAAAGTACAGCACATGTAGTTATGTACAGTACATGATACGTGATAATGATAATAAACAACTATGTCACTGGTTTATGTATTTACTGTTCTATACTTTTTTTTGAGATCTTTTTATTTATTTATTTATATTATTATTTTTTTTTTTAATTTTCACTCGAAGATACTCCTTTATTGATTTTTAGATAGAGTGGAAGGGCGGGAGGGAGGGAGAAAGAAAGAGAGAGAAATATCCATGTGAGAGAGACACATCAACTGGCCTCCTCCCTTATGACCCCGACCGGGGCTGGGGATCGAACCCACAACCCTTGACTGGAATCGAATCTCTGACCCTTTGGTCTGCAGGCCGATGCTCTAAGTGCTGAGCCAAAACAGCCAGGGCACATGAGATCTTTTAAAAAATAAGGCTTTAAATCATGTAGTCAATATTGTATATGAGTTTATGGCTATATAAACATGTAATAACACAAAAGTAAAAATATGGACTAAAGAGTTACCTCTAAGAGAGAGAGGAAGAGAAATGAGATTAGCAAAGAGGGTACCTAAAATGTTTTTATTTTAATCCTAAAGCAAAGACAACATGTTTGGACTGTTCTATACTTTTTGACATTATTTTAGAGTGTGCTCGTTATGCTTATAGAAGATTTTTTGCTGTAAAACAATATGCCATGTTGTCAGCAGCGGCCTCATGCATCTCGTGTTTACGGCGTCTCTTAATTGTTCATTTTCTCTTATGCTCGATTTAATCTCATGTTGTTTTGTTCATCACCGCCCCTAAGCAAACAAAATCCACTGTTAATGTTGCCAGGAAGAAGTGTCTAGTGATTGACCTGCAAACAAAATCGAAAGTGATTGACTACAAAGGTGGAAATCAGTGATGGGTGTTGCTCAGGCATAACCCATTTCACTATCACTACAGTTTCAAAGAACAAGAACAAAATGATGGAAGCTGTTAAAGGATTTACTTCATTGAAGACAATAGGACTGACGGAATTTGAGAAGGGCCTCTGACGGACATGGAGAAACTTCCATGGCCTGGATTAAAGACCAGGCACAGAAATGTATCCCTCTCTGCACCATGACGATCACTGCCAAAGCAAAAAGTTTGTTTGCAGTGTTGAAAGAAAAGACTGGACCTGACTACTATGTTTAATTTGCCACTTGCTCTGGGTGGTTTAAACGACCCAAGAATAGTTATTCATTCAATAATATGAAGTGAGTAGTGAGTCTGTGAGTGCTGATGTGAAGGCAGCTGAAGAATTTTTTGAAATTGTAAAATAAGCTGATTGTGGTGGAAAATACTTGCCAGGGCAAATATTCAATATGGATGAATACTCCCTGTTCTAGAAATGCATGCCTGAAAGGATTTTCATCCATAAGAGGCCAAGTCAGTGCCAGGTGTCAAGACTTTTAAGGACAGGGTAAGAGTCTGACTTGGGGGCAGTGTTGCAGGCTAAAAATTGAAATGTGATCTGGCACAGGGAGAACCCCAGGGCCAGTAGGCATATCGACAAGCACACGCTGCCAGTGTACTACAGGAACAACAAAAGTTGTAAATACCCAACTTCTCTTTCAATATGCCCTCCTGAATTGTTCTGCCAATGAAATGAAGTACTGTTTGGAGAATAATATATCTTTCAAGATTTAGTTATAGTTGATAATGCTCCCAGACATCCTCCTTTTATTGATGATCTTCATCCCAATGTCAAAGTGGTGTTTCTCCCTCCAAACATTACTTCTTTGACCCAACCAATGGATCAAGGAATTATAGCAGGTTTCAGGGCCTACTACATGAAAAGGACCTTTGCCCAGGCTATTGCTGCAACTGAGGAAGACACTGATGTCCTTCGGGAAGAATTACAACATCTATGACAGCATCAGGAATGTTTCTTTGGGTTGGGGTGATGTCACCAAGGACTGTAGGAATAGTATCTGGAAGCACACACTTAAGAGGTTTGTCCAGGACTTCAGAGGGGTTGCCAAGGATGAGGAGCTTGCAAAGATCACAAGGCTGTGTTTGAGACAACACGTATCTTTAACCTGCATGTGATATGGATGACTTTGAGGAGCTTCTAGATGAGGTTCCTGAGGAATTGACTAATGAGGAGATGTGGGAACTGGAACAGGAATGCATAGCTAAAGAAGGAAGAGAAAAGGAAACTACAGGGTAAGAAAAAGAAGAACCCCCAAGGAACCTCACAGTCAATGGCTTAGCAGAAACTTTTGCAGACCTCAGCAAGTTCCTTAAAAAGTTTGAAAACATGGACTCCAACAATATCAAGAATGTTCATGATATATTATCTGCTTACAAGCAAACCTGTGATAGAAAAAAGAAACAAATCAAGCAAACCACTGTGGACATATTTCTGAAAAGATTGTCACCTCCTCAAAAAGAGCCTCAGGCCTCCCTCAGGAGGCCTTCCAGAAGGCATTGTTATCATAGGAGATGACAGCTCCTTGTGCATTTGCCCCTGAAGAGCTTCCGTGAGAAAAGATGTGGAGATGGAAAAGAGTGATCCTGACCCTGGCTTGGCCTGGGTTAATGTGTGTTTGTGGTTTAGTTTTTAACAAAAAAGTTTGAAAAGTAAAAAAACCAAAATTTAAAAATAGAAAAAAAACTATAGAACAAGGATAAAAGAAAGAAAATATTTTTGTACAGCTGTAAAATGTGTATTTTAAGCTAAGTGTTATTACAAGAGTCAAAAGTTAAAAATTCAAAGGGTGTATAAAGAAGTTACAGTAAGCTAAGGTTAATTTATTCTTGAAGAAAGAATAAAGTTTTATATAAATTTAGAGTAGCTTAAGTGTATAGTTTTCATAAAGTCTTTAGTATATACAGTGATGTCCCAGGCCTTCACATTCACTCGCCACTCTCTCACTGACTCACCCAGAGCAACTTCCAGTCCCGCAAATTCCGTTCATGGTAAGTGTCCTACACAGGTGTACCATTTAAAATCTTTTATACCATATTTTTGCTGTACCTTTTCTATGTTTATATATGTTTAAATTTTTTATTGGTTTGAGAGAGAAAGAAATGTCGATTTGTTGATCCACTTATCTATGGATTCACTGGTTGCTTCTTGCATGTGCCCTGACTAGAGGTCAAACCAGCAACCTTAGTGTCTGAGGATAACGCTCTAACCAACTGAGCTACATGGCCAAGGCTGTTTAGATATGTTTAGATACACAAATAGCATTGTGTTACAATTGCCTAAAGTATTCACTGGAGTATAACATGCTGTACAAGTTTGTAGCCTAGGAACAGTGATTGGCTATACTATATAGCCTATAAAGCTACACCATCTAGGTTTCTGTTAGTGCACTCTACGATGTTCCCATGACAAAATCGCCTAACAACAGATTTCTCACAACATATTCCCACTGTTAAACAACTAATACATGTATATATAAATATTTAATTTTAGAAGAAATACTATCAAATTAACATGCGAGTATAACTTTATTTCTAGGTGCTCCAATATTACCTCAAGGATTACGGCCTGAAGAAGAGCTACAACTGTGGAATGAGGTAAAGAATTATCCTCATACAAATTAGTGAAAACTTTACCCTTCTTTGAACTTATCATCGTAAAATGAAATAATATAATTGAGATTTGGGACAACTATGACTTTACTAACATTCTGATAGTACAATATGTAGAATTATAATTTTTATTAAGTAAAAGGTGAAAAGAAACAAAAAAAAGTAAATAGTAAAGCAAGACCATCTATTTGGAAAATAAATGTAATTTAGATAAATAATCTTGGGCTAAAAATGAAATTACAAAATATTTGAATTGAATGACATAAAAATATTATAAGTCAAAACTTGTAGACAGCAACATAAAGAGAAATTATAGCTTCATATATATTTATCAAAAAGGAAGAAAATTTAAAAACAAGCTAAGCATTCAACTAAAAAATAAAATTCAAAGAAACAGGAATGAAGTAGATAATAAAAATAAGGGCAGAATGCATTTTTTAAAAAGAGAGGGAGAACAAAGTAACAATGTTAACAAAACCAAGTGTTTGTTCTTTCCAAATGTTATTAAGCACTGGCAGTACTGATTTTAAATGTAAAAGGGAAGATAAAGATAAATAAAATATAGACTGAAAAAGGATAGACCACCAAAAAAGAGAAATTTAAAATGTTTCTTAAAGGTGTTATGGACAATTGACTGACAATGGTGCACAACTCTGTAAATAGCACAAAAAACTATGGAATTGTATACTTTAAATGGATGAATTCTGTGGTGTGTGAATTATATCTCAATGAAACCGTCACCAAAAAAAAGAAGCATTATGGATAGCTATATGGTAATGATTTTGAAAAGTTAGATGTAGTGGATAAATTCATAGAAAACTAACTGATGCCAGAAAGGTGCACTAGTAACACAATAAGCACTGAAGAATCAATGTCTTTTAAAAATTTTTTTATCTATTTATTTTTTAAATCCTCATCCAAGGATATTTTTCCATTTATCTTCAGATAGAGTGGGGGGTGGGGGGAGTGGAGAGAGCGAGAGAGAGAAACATTGATGTGAGAGAGACACATTGACTGGTTGTCTCCCACATGACCCCTACCCGGGCCAGGGACTGAACCATCACCAAGGTACATGCCCTTGACCAGAATCGAACTCGTAACTCTTTAGTCTAAGGGCCAATGTTCTAACCGCTGAGCCAAGCCAGTCAGAGTACAGTGTCTTTTTCCCTTTGTTTTTCCCCAAAGCCTCCTGTACTATGTTATATAGTTATTATATCTAAAGCTTCTCCATAAAGTATAAATTTGCCCTAGAATTGTTATATAACCTTTATCCAGTTGAGGAAATTATTTTTTTAACTGTCTCGCTAAGAGTTTTGTTAATCCTAAATCAAATTCAAACTTAATCAGATGCTTTATTTGTATCAGTATCAAGATAAGCAATATGCCTTTTCTCCTTTATAGTGATGATGAATTGCATTAAGAAATTTTATATAGTCCTGCCAGTTTGGCTCAGCAGTTGAGCGTCAGCCTGTGGACCAGAGAGTCCCAGGTTCAGTTCCTGCTAGGGGCACATACCACACAAAAAAAAAAGAAAAGAAATTTTATTTAGTGTTTTTTTCAGAAACTTCATAAATGTAATCTAAAATTTATATGGAAAAGTATAGGTCTACAAATAGCTAAGGAGATTTTAAATATAAAGAGCTAAGAATGAGAACTTGTCCTACAAGATATCAAGAAGTACACAAGAACAGACAAGTGAACCAATGGAACAGGGACTAGAGCTTGGAGAGTTTAGCAGGCACTGTCAGTGTCCAGTCATATCCTTTGGCATTCACCATTCCAGGACACTCCAAACTTGCTGATTCTAATTGTGTGCCCCTGTGAATCTGCCTGCGTGGCCTGTGCTCAGGGCAGACCTGAAATGCCTGGGCGTAAACGCCCCCACTGAGAGCAGCCCTCAGTTGGTGACCCAAGGGAGTTGGTGACTAAATACCTTAGCTCAGTTGGGATAACTCGGAGTTCTATATTGGCTCCCAGAGTTCCCCAGACATACTGACCTCAGTTACCCACAGTGGTAATCTGCTTGATAACATTCCCTTTATTGGATTTCTTCTCTTTCCTGTTTTACTTCTCTACTCTTCAGTTAGTGCTTCTTGGATCATCTCCCCCCAGATCCACTTATATCCACATCCTTATCTCAAGGCCTGTTTCTGGGGGAACCCAAACTAAGAGAGAAATTCAGATACACACAAACCTAACTTGCAATAAAAATAATACTAAAATTCAGTGGGAAAAGGACAGATTATTTGGCCATTGAGGGCTGAGAAACTGTCTTGCTATATGGAGAAAGTAACACTTAACACCCTATACAAAGGTGGACTCCAGGTAGATTAAAGATTGAAATGTAAAGGGTAAAATTATGGAATGAATAGAAAATATTTTCTTTATGAAAATATCTTTGTGAGCTGGAAGCAGGGAAAGACTTATTAAAACTTCAAATATAAATCATAGGGCCAAAAAAATGATGATTTGAATTACATTAACAAAAAACTCCATGGAAAAAGGTAAGAGCCTTTGAAAAGAGATATTAACCATGCCTAAAACTGATAAGGGATTAATTTCTAGAATAATCTAAGAAATGCTATCAAATCAATTAGGTAAAGATGGGAATCCAAAATAAAAATAGTCAAAGGATAGAACAATTTAAAACAAAACCTAAAAGGCCAATAAACATCTAAAGAGATGCTCACATTCATTAGTAATCATTAAATAAAAATTAAGCAAACAGCAAATGTCTCTTTCCACCCATTAGTTGGGTAAAAATTTGAAGTTTAGATAATGGCAAGTGTTAGCAAGGACGTGGGGTGTACAAACCCTCAAGCCTTGGCGGTGGTGTCAACTCTGGAAACAACCTAGATTTCCCCATGGTCTAGCATTACGTCTCCTGGGTATGTAGCCCAAGGATATTCTCCTACAGATCCATAAATAGAGGACAGATTCAGGGAGGTAAAGGAAGGATTGGGGGGAACCCAGCTGTCCATCATCAGGGAATGTGTAGGCTACATGCAGTGGGTGCACGTTATAGATACTCTATAATAGCTAGGAGAAGCATACATGAAGTATCCAGTAACATGGATAGATCTCAAAGTATAGTGTTAATGGGAAAAAAGAAAGAAAATACCATGTATGTGCACCAAACAACAGTAAGATTTTATAAGAACCTGAGCAAATGGAGGATCCACACAAATATATTAGAAGAATTGCCTATGGGAGGATGCAATAGGAGTAGGAAATGGAAATATAAACATAATAAATAAATGAAGTGAGTCCAATGATGATAGTGTCAACTGAGGAGAACACCTGTTGTACCTGGCCACCCCCAATAATATGTATAAAGGATAAGACAAGATAGATGGTGAGTGTCAAGTGCTAAAGTCTTCAATAGCATAGAAATTCCTACGGTCTGATATAAGGATCTTAGCTTTGGTATATCAAAATACAAAATATAAATGAGATGAAGGATAATTTAGACAACAGATAATATATAATATATAATAAAGACATTTATTTTTAGTTTGAAATCATCTATACTTCTGTGGGAATTTTTTGAAAAAACGTTTTAGATGATAATGCTGTGTAAAACTCAGAGATGGTAAAGCCCTATACATTCTTTTAGAGGAAAAAATATTTTAAAAAGTTAAGATGTGCCCTGGCTGGTTTGGCTCAGCGGTTAGAGCGTCGGCCTGCGGTCCAGAGAGACCCGGGTTCGGTTCCCGCTAAGGGCACGTACCTCGGTTGCAGTTTGTCCCCGGCCCTGGCTGGTTGTGCGGGTGGCAACCACTCGATGTGTCCCTTTCACATCGATGTTTCTCTCTTTCTCTCTGTTCCTCTCTCTCCCTCCCACTCTACCTGAACGAAAAATGGAAGAATGCCCTCAGGGGAGGATTAAAAAAAAAAAAAGTTAAGATGCTAAGAATAGTAGAAACACACATTTTCAACCATATACAGAGAATTAATGGACAGGAAAGATGAACAAGCAACGTCCATCTGTAAAACATAAAAATGCCAGTTACATCTTAATACGTTTTCAAACAGATTCATCAATGGACTCTGCAGAGTTCTCAAAAGCAATTAGTGGCACTTAAAACCATTAGAGTCAGAATGTGAGTGAAATGAACAAATGCTTACCCAAACGGAAAGTGGGTGAGCAACGTTGCTGTGCCTTTTAAAAGAAGGGAGAACAAAGACAGGAAAGCTTTGCAATCATCTCCTAATTTGATTAATTGGCATTTTTTTCTTATTCTGATGTTTTTATTCAAATAATGTTGATGCACTAATTAGTTAATCTTGTGGCTCAAGAGTTCTCTGTCCTTGAAGGCAGCTGGCCTGTGGGAGGACGGCCTTCCCCCCAGCGGGGAATGTGGTGCTCAGATACCTAAGCACCACAGAAATGTCAGGAAGAACTACTTTCTCCTGCCCTGCTAAATCATAAGAAATACCATTTGGAGGTGATATATTACACAGGGGTCACAATTCAGAGCTTAAAACGGTATCTTTTTGGGCTTTCCTCTCTCAGTTGACTTATATTTTTTTCCCAAAAGTTCAATTACATTTAGTTAAATAATATTTATTTATTTAATTCCATTTATCATTAGATAGAATGGAAAGGAGGGATAGAGAGACAGAGAGAAACATCAATGTGATAGAACCACATCCATTGGTTGCCTCTGTGTCGTATGACCTGATCAGGGCTGGAGACGGAACCGAAACTGAGGTACGTGCCCTTGACCAGAATTGAACTGGTGACTCATCCGTCTGCGAGCCAACGCTCTAACTGCTGAGTCAACCGGCCAGGGCTAAATAATATTTACGAACACTTACTCTGGGCCAGTTTTATATGGCATAGCCCTTGTGTTCAAGAAGTTTATCACTATGTGTATGTGTGTGTATGAGTGTCTTTGTAGTCGTGGGTTTGTACAGCATAAAAGAGGGAGTAGGTGGGTTGGGCCAAGGGACAAGTGGAATAAAACAGTTCCCTCAAATCTGTGATAAATAGAGAAGATGACAATTTCTGTGAGGATAAAAAGTAGAGAGACATAAGCTTATACTTTTTGATAACGTTGGACACCTTTGTTATTCTTTAAATTAGAGAATCATATTTTAGGACATGTTCAACTTGGAAGTAATAAGCAACTTGAGAAATTGTGACTGAAGAATATGATAATTCCCCCTCGGTTTGGTGGGAGAATGGAAATGAAATTAAACTAATCAAAAAAGAATTCTGAAACTAGAAGGGGGCCCCTGAGATGTTAAGCCATAAACAGGACTCCACCTAAATGATCCCGGACAGACAAGAGTCAGTAGCATTTTTTTCCAGTCCCACTTTAAAAGTCCACCAAAGAAATAAATGCCATAAACAGCTTCAGACATCCAGCTTCATGTGTAACTTCTCAAGACAGTTTTAAAAATTATTAATATGTCTTTTATGTTATAGTTCAAAATCTTTCAAGTTTTCCCTTGAAAAACTTGGTGAAAGTTGAGACCAGCTAGTTGCCAACTGTAATTCAATAAACCGTTGAGAAAGAGAACCTTTCTGATGTCTCCCTGGTAGCAAACTTGTAGGTTGCTCTGTGTTAAGAGTTTTCACCATAAACTATTTATCACACTATTTATAATTCAGCACTTATATGATTATCATTTAATATAAATGGTGTGGTTAAACTTACACGTAATAAAGAGCCACGTGATAATAGGGTGCTCCTTAATTCTGAGACCATTTTTTACTCACCACTCACATTTCTCAGGCTGGGGAATAAAGGGAGTTTTCCCCCCTCAATGTTTGGAGCATCTTTATACCCTCTGATGATCTCTATGAACTGTTCTTGGGAACATATACCCCCTATGGGGGTGAATTTTGGGGATATCCCAATTCCAGGACTTCCTTAGAAAGTTTAAGAGGCTCCTCTCTCCCAAATCCAAGAGTCCTAAGCTGTCATGGAACTTTGATTACTATTACATAGGTAACTTGACTTTGTAAAATCTGCTTTCCATTTTCTGCTACTTTCTGTCTATCGCCAAGATGTAACTGGCATTTTTGTTTTCTACAGATAGATGCTGCTTGCTCATCTTTCCTGTCCCTTGGTTCTCAGCCTCAGGTAATTCCAGTAGGAGGTGTTTTGTAACGATGCAGGCATTTGTGTAGTGCTGAATACTGCATTTTCCCCTTTGGATCTGTCATTACGTTATGGACTTATTAAAACTTGCCAACATATTAGAAATTATTATGTCATCTGCAGGTAATATTCAGAGCTAAGAGCTTATGTTGTAAAGTGCTAGGACTTTTATCTCTAAGAAAAATAGATTTGTAGATAATATACACATATTTGGGGAATTAAAATGCTAATTAAAATAATGTGTATAGCCCTGGCTGGTGTGGCTCAGTAGAAAGAGCATCAGCCCTCACACTAAAGAGTCATGGGTTTGATTTCTAGTCAAGGGCATGTACCTGGGTTGCAGGTTTGATCCCCACCTTGGTCAGGGCATGTGCGGGAGGCAACCAATCAATGTATCTCTTTCACATCGATGTTTCTCTCTCTCTCTCTCTCTCTCTCTCTCGCTCTCTCGCTCTCTCTGTTTCTCCCCTTCTCTCACTTCTACTCTCTCTAAAATTCAATGGAAAAAATATCCTCAGAGAGGATTAACAATAATGATGATGATGATGATGATGATGATGATGATGTCTATTGCTGTATTTGGGGGCAAATAGCCTGTCCTTCAAATTGAGTTTGAAACCCATGGAGGGAGAAACTTATAGACTCAGACTTATGGAAATCAAAATTCCCATTATAACTAAAAAGTACATTTGTGAATGCAGCTTTAGAGCTGATGCCAAGTGTGTTTATTAGAACTATCCCCAGAACTAAACTGGGTGAGACAGTGACTCGGAGCCTCCCGCCAGAATCAGGTGTTCTGCCACAGGGCAGAGACCTGACAAGAACAGCTGGCCAGAGAGCTGGCTCCCTAAGAGGAAAGGGCTGAATGGAGCATGTCCAACTTCTTCCTCTCAGTCATCTCTCAGATAACTCACTCCTCTGCCCGGAGGGGAGAATTCAGAATAGGTGGAGAGAAGTGTCGGTCTAGTTCCTGTACGTGGAAACAGGAGGAGTATATATGTGTGTCCTCCTTACACCATCTGTACTGGACACTACTGCTTCTGTCTGCAGCTCTACCTATGGGTTAGATACAGCAGAGTTAGTCTTTTTTTTTTTTTTTTAATCCTCACCCAGGGATATTTTCCATTTATCTTCAGATCAAGTGGGAGGAGAGAGAAAGAAACATTGATGTGAGAGGGACACATTGACTGGTTGCCTCCCGCACAACCCCGACCAGGGCCGGGGACCAGACTGCAACCGAGGTACATGCCCTTGAGTGAAATTGCACCCGTGACTCCAGTCTTTGGGCCAATGCTCTAACGGCTGAGCCAAACCGTCCAGGGACAGCAGAGTTAGTCATAAGTCTTGACTTTTTAAATCAGTATCACTAGTCTTCTGGGTGGAGAAGAGGGCTCAGCATAGATCTGCTTTGACCCTTTCAGAGCAATCAGCTGTGTGCCTTGGGTGCGCCCCCCACATAGACTGGCCAAGGTTCCATGTTCTTCACAGTCCTTCCAGCATGTCATCCTGGCCGGTGTGGAGAGACAGCCTTGTATACTGCTGTATTTCTTCTGCTTCAAGTCATTCCTTGGTCTTCAGAGGATGAGCTGCAGGAAGTAAGAGGCATTAGATGGTAAAGCAAGATCAGGATCACAATAGATGACCTGTTTATGAATAATTATTCAAATTACTTTAGGAGCATTGATGGGTATATAACATATAATGGATACAGCATACAAGCTTTTGCATTGCATTTAAAATACAGGAACATCCTCAGAATCAGTTTTATTTTTTCAGCACTAAACGGACAAATTTTAAAGCACTCATCTAAACACCATCAAGATAAACTAAGGTTTCATTGGGTTTGGATGGTGTGTACATTTTGAAGAGAGGTTGGTAAATTTATTATGGAATCTTTTACATTACCTGATACAATTTTTTTTAAATGCAGGAATTTTTATAAATGATCATTCTGACTGCACTGTTTGAAGAATGCCTGAGTGGGTACAAAGAGATCTGAATTAGTAGGGCTATTGTAAGGGTCAAGTGTGAAGGAGTGAAATATACTATCCTGTTGTTGAGAGCTACCATCAAAATATATAACAAAAAATTGGAGAAGGTGGGCTTTATGCCTCAAACTTCTCACTTCTTAAACTGCCTTTTTATTATAAAGCTGTTTCTAATTTTGTTATGTTATTCTAAATCAGAGCTGTCATCAAATTTCTATCAGAGTATTTATCTAAACACATAGCTTTCAGGCTCATATGGTATGAGTGTTTGCTGGATACTCCTGGTACTCAATATCTCTTGTCTTGTAAAGTAGATTGAATTGAAAATCTGGATTCCAATTCACTGTCAAAGATCCCTGGTTTAAGTCAAACTTAACCTGCAGACTTTATAAACTGTTTTTCCAAAAAATATGCCTATTTATAATGTCATTTATATTTATTTCCTTTAAACTTCTTTAATCTTAGTTTTAAAGTCATTTAAAGTATATAGTTGTTTAATATCTTTATTTTCCTGGGGCAATAAGATTAAAAAAACAAACACACTTAAAAGGCAAATTATTTTCAAAATTGGCCTTAAACCTTATCAATGCTAAGCAACACATTTAGTTAATTAGCTTCATTAATTTAAATCATTATGCCTTATATATTTTTAAACCAAAATACAGGAATCTTTCAGCTCTATCTTTAATGTGGAATTCTTGAGTAACATTTATATAAACACCTTATCCTGTTTTTTACTATTCTTCATTCTTTTCTTTTTTTTTCTTTGTTTTTTTATTTATTAATTTGTTTTTGTTATAAATGTTTCTCATTTTCCTCCCATTGACACCCCACCCCCACCCCACCCCATACCAACTTTGGTGTCTATGTTCATTGGTCATGCATATATGCATGTAAGTTCTTTGGTTTATCTCTTTCCCCTAACCCTCCCTCCTCTGAAGCTTGTCAGTCTGTACCCCACCTCTGTGTCTCTGGGTTAATTTTGTTCAGCAGTTTGTTTAGTTCATTATATTCCACAAATAAGTGAGATCATGTGATATTGGTCTTTCTCTGCTTGGCTTGTTTCACTTAGCATAACACTCTCCAGGTTCTTCCATGCCATCTCAAAGGATAAGAGATCTTTCTTTCTTACAGCTGCATAGTATTTCATTGTGTACATGTACCACAGCTTTTTAATCCACTCATCTACTGATGGACACTTGGGTTGTTTCCCGATCTTAGCTATTGTAAATAGTGCTGCTATGAACATAGGGGTACATATATTCTTTCTGATTGGTATTTCAGGCTTCTTAGGGTATATTCTTAGAAGTGGGATCACTGGGTCAAATGGCAGTTCAATTTTTAACTCTTTGAGGTAACACCATAGTGTTTTCCACAGTAGCTGCACCAGTCTACATTCCCACCAGCAGTGTACTAGAGTCCCCTTTTCTCCACACCCTTGCCAACACTTGTTGTTTGATGATTTGTTGATGGCAGCCATTCTGACAGGTGTGAGGTGATACCTCATTGTTGTTTTAATTTGCATCTCTCTGATGATTAGTGATGTTGAGCATTTCTTCATATGTCTCTTGGCCATTTGTATATCCTTTTTGGAGAGGTGTCTATTTAGGTCCACTGCCCATTTTTTAATTGGGTTCTTTGTCTTTCTTTTGTTGAGTTGTATGAGCACTCTGTATATATTGGAAATTAACCCCTTATCTGATACATCATTGGCGATTATGGTCTCCCATATAGTGGGATCTCTTTCAATTTTGATGGTTGTTTCTTTTGCTGTGCAGAAGCTTTTTAGTTTGATGTATTCTATGTGTTCATTTTTTTTCTTTGTTTCTCTTGCCTTAGGTGTTGTATCAGTGAAAATCCTTCTGTGTATGATGTCTGAGATTTTGTTGCCTATATTTTCTTCTAGAATTTTTATGGATTCACGGGTCACATTTAAGTCTTTTATCCATTTTGAGTTTATTCTCATGTATGATGTAAGTTGGTGGTCTAGCTTCATTTTTTTGCAAGTAGCTGTCCAATTTTCCCAACACCATTTATTGAAGAGACTGTCTTGGCTCCACTGTATGCTCTTGCCAGCTTTGTCAAATATTACTTGAGCATACTGTCTTGGGTCAATTTCTGTGTTCTCTATTTTGTTCCATTGATCTATCTGCTTGTTCTTGTGCCAGTACCAGGCTGTTTTAATTACAGTGGCTTTGTAGTATAACTTGATATCTGGTAATGTGATCCCTCCTACTTTGTTATTCTTTTTCAAGATTGCTGTGGCTATTTGGGGCCTTTTTTGGTTCCATATAAACTTTTGGAGTGTTTGTTCTAGTTCTGTAAAGTTTATCTTTGGTATTTTGATGGGGATTACATCGAGTCTATAGATTGCTTTGGGTAGTATGGACATTTTAATGATGTTAATTCTTCCAATCCATGAACAAAGTATATGCTTCCACTTCTTTATATCGTCCTCTATTTTCTTTATTAATGACCTGTAGTTTTCTGTGAAGAGGTCTTTTACTTCTATGGTTAAGTTTATTTCTAGGTATGGCTTCACCGGGGAGTTTTACCAAACATTTACAGAAGATCTAATACCCATTCTCCTCAAACTATTCCAAAAAATTCAGAAGATGGAACACTTCCAAACTCATTTTATGAGGCCAGCATAATTCTAATTCCAAAACCAGATAAAGACACTACAAAGAAAGAAAACTACAAGCCAATATCCCTGATGAACACAGATGCCAAAATCCTTAACAAAATATTAGCAAATTGGATCCAGCAATACATCAGAAAAATTATTTATCATGACCAAGTGGGTTTCATCCCAGGCATGCAAGGATGGTACAATATTAGCAAATCAATAAATGTGATATACCATATAAACAAAAGGAAAGATAAAAACCGTATGATCAGCCCTGGCCAATTTGGCTCAGCGGTTAGAGCGTCGGCCTGCGGTCCGGAGAGACCCGGGTTCGGTTCCCGCTAAGGGCACGTACTTCGGTTGCAGTTTGTCCCCGGCCCTGGTTGGTCGTGCGGGTGGCAGCCACTCGATGTGTCCCTTCACGTTGATGTTTCTCTCTCTCTCCCTCCCACTCTATCTGTACAAAAAAAAAAAATGGAAAAATGTCCTCGGGTGAGGATAAAAAAAAAAATAAAAAAAACCGTATGATCATATCAATAGATACTGAAAAAGCTTTCGACAAAATCCAGCATCCATTCTTGATAAAAATGCTCAGCAATGTGGGAATAGAGGGATCATATCTCAACATAATAAAGGCCATATATGAAAAACACAGCCAACATCATACTCAGTGGGCAAAAACAAAAAGCAGTCCCCTTAAGAATGAGAACAAGACAGGGATGCCCACTTTTGCCACTCTTATTTAACATACAACTGGAAGTCTTAGACACTGCAATTACACATGAAGAAAAAATAAAGGGGATCCAAATTGGAAAGGAGGAAGTGAAACTGTCATTATTTGCAGATGACATGATATTGTACATAGAAAACCCTAAAGACTCCATCAAAAATCTACTAGACTTAATAAATGAATTTGGCAAAGTAGCAGGATACAAAATTAACGTCAAGGAATCGACGGCATTCTTTTACACCAATGATGAAATCACAGAAAGAGAAACTGAAAAGACAATCCCATTTACCATTGCAGCAAAAAAATTTAAGATATCTAGGAATAAACTTAACCAAAGAAGTAAAGGACCTCTTCACAGAAAACTACAGGTCATTGAAAAAAGAAATAGAGGAAGATATAAAAAAGTGGAAGCATATACTTTGTTCATGGATTGGAAGAATTAACATTATTAAAATGTTCATACTACCCAAAGCAATCTATAGATTCAATGCAATCACCATCAAAATACCAACGACATATGTCACAGAACTAGAACAAATACTTCAAAAGTTTATATGGAACCAAAAAAGACCTTGAAGAGCCACAGCAATCTCGAAAAAGAAGAACAAAGTAGGAGGGATCACATTACCAGATTTCAGGTTATACTACAGAGTCACTGATACAATTTTTAAAAATCATTAATTTTACATTATTATTTTATTTTTTATGTGATTATCTGAATAGTGCTTCAAAACATTTTTATCAAATAGAAAATAAAGGATCTTTAAGGTTCACACATAAAACAGTAAAATATTAAAAATTCAATATAAAATAAATCCTTAAAGAATAGTGCAGCTCAGTGGTTGAGCATTGACCCATGCATCAAGAGATCGCCGATTCAATTCCCAGTCAGGGCACATGCCCAGGTTGTGGGCCCGATCCCCAGTGCGGGGCACGCAGGAGGCAGCCAGTTGATGTTTTCTCTCATCGATGTTTCTCTCTCTCTCTCTCTAATATCAATAAAGAAAAACAATTTTATTTTTTCAAAAAGGATAGTGTGGCTCATTAAATAATAGTTTATGTAAATAATTTCTGGAGAAAATATAGTTTGTTTTGAAACTTTTTCTGTCCAACTTCAATCTTGTTGCCAAGCCTCACCCAGTTTAGAATATGTTTTCTGAGGAGACACTCATGTCTGAATTTATTCTTCAAATTAAGAGATACATCTTTTTTTTTTTTTAAATCCTCACCTGAGGATATTTTTCTATTTATCTTTAGACAGAGTTGTAGGGAGGGAGAGAGAGACACATCGACTGGTTTCCTCTCTCACAACCCTTTCCAGGGCTGGAGACAAACAGAAACTGAGGTACATGCTCTTGACCAGAATTGAACCCACGACTCTGGTCCACGGGCCAACACTCTAACTGCTGAGGCAAACCGGCCAGGGCAAGAGATACATCTTTGACAAATGATATCACTGGATAGTTATGTTATTGTTTTGTATTTTGAAGCATTTCTAGATGGGCCATAAAAAGATGTTTCAGGAATTTATTTCCAGATTTTTATGGGGTGACCTGTGTCTCCATCCTTGAAGAGAGAAAGTGAGAAAGGATGTATGAGTGTTCACACTATTTTTCTCTCCCATCCAACTCCCAACCATAGGTGTAACAGTAATACCAGTGCAACACTGGAGTATCTAAACATCAGAAGACCTAGTCCCAGGCCACACTCTACCAACTACTAGCTATGTGTGGTTTGGGGCAAGTGACAGTCTCTTAGAACCTACCTAGTCCCAGGCCACACTCTACCAACTACTAGCCATGTGTGGTTTTGGGCAAGTGACAGTCTCTTAGAAACTTACTTCTTTTACACATGAGAATGACAATCTCTGTCCTGTATACCCCACAGCTGTGTTTTAAGGACAGACTGTGAATTATGTATGTGAAAGTGTTTTGTAATTTATTGAAGCACCATATAAAGATGAGCCAATTAATATTATTCTAACAATTTGCACGGCAGGCAAACAAATGGAAGAGAACAGAGCAGACCTCTGATGCTAGGAAGGATGCTCAGAGAAGCTGTTTCAGGACTCCAACTGAATCCCTAACTAAAATCAATCCTATTAAGCATTCATTACTGTTCAAAAGTTGAGGATATTGGTTGCCCCAAATAATCATTTGATGTCTTGTAAATTATGAGTAAATACAGCTATAAATCAAGTTTTACAGGTCACATATTTTTTAATGCTACCATTATTAACTAATTGCTAGGTACCTGGCACTGTACTAAGAACTCTACCCACAAATAATCCTTCCAAGAACTCTCTGCAGTGATGTTGTCATCCCTGATGTACCTGGAGTTTAGAGAGGTTAGGTAGCCAGCCCAAAGTAACACAGCTAATGAAAAGCAGACATGAAATTTGCACTGCTGTAGAGTTGCAGGCTGCTCAACTCCATAGCCCATGTTTTTAAACACTAATTAAATCACCCCCATGGTTCCAGATCTTCATTATTTCTAATGTGCACTTATTAAGTAATCAATTGTTTATGGTACTACTGTGCTAAATTCTGTGCAAAGTAGGTTTCGCCCCTGCTTGTCCATTTGTGCTACTCCTCACCACACCCAGCTGGCTGCTAACCACAAGGAGCCTTGCCCTACTTCTGTCCTCAGATGCTTTGAAAAACCTGATCCTGGGGTGTGCAGTCAGCAGCCTGGAAGGGTGGCAACTCAGATTTGGTGCCCCATTGACCGCTCCTTCCCCTCTAACTCCCATTGTTTTCGAGCAATTGAAGGATTTTCAAGTTAGCCAATAATGAGTAATATTCAGTGAGGCTCACAGCTTTGGCATGTAGATTCAGACTTGGCTACAACCTGGGAAGAATAATTCCTCTTTTGCCACTGCCCTCATTACTGTCAGTCATAGAACTCCATGAAAGCTCAGCAAGTACTGAGAATTATGTATCTGGACCACAGTGGAGACCTTAATCAGTGCATATGCACAGTACATAATTTTTTTTCCTGATTGGAAGGAAAGTTTTACTTGTAGGAGCCAAGTTTTTGTTGTGAGAAAAATCAAGGGATTCCAACAGAGTTTCAGTGGGCCACAAGAAGGATTCTATTCTGGGCAGTTGGAATATCCTTGTGTTCCCCAAGTTCTACAGTTATATCTTCTTTGCAAATGTTGTTAAAATAGAAGCATAGCCTGTGTGTGTATCTTCTCATTTCCATTAGGCATCCAATGCATTGAAGGAGCTTTGCTTCACAATTATGGAAACTCTACCAAAGCCCAAGGTAAGGCTGAAATAGTGTTTTATTTGTAGGCAAAAAATTGCTCAGTGATATCTTGGAATTCCTACTGGAAGAAATTATACCCAATTTAGGAAGCAAACCAAGAGGAGTTTGAAGAGGATATATTGATTTTGGATAAGAAAGAAATTCTTCAGTTTCTCTGATGTCTGAGAATTTAAGGTCATCTCAGTGGAGTTTACAATTATCCATTGAAAGGTTATATGGCCCCCTCAGGTATGTGTTCTACCTCTGATGAAAGAAATGTGGGGTCATTTGGCTCCTTTTCTCTCACTGACTGATACAATTGGAGAACAGACACATCTTTGTTTGTTAGAGAGGACATTAAGAATGCACAAAAAGCAAACTATATTGTCAATGTCACTTTGAAAATTATATTCTTATTGTGATGACTTAGTTTCTTATTAAAATTACTTGATTCTTCTGGGAGAACTTTTTGTCCTGAAGTAAGGATAAGTGGGAAATTGAAAAATAGCATAATGTACTATAAAATTTTATATTCTGTATCTTCTAGATACACTTATTTTAAAACTATCTTATTAAAGATAAGAGCCTCAAGTTTTGAATTATATTTTTCATCAGCAACCGTGCTCATTGATACATTCTGATTGCCATACCTTTCACATGCAGTAACTCAAAGAAACCTTGATTTTTTGAAAGCACAAATTTTTTCTGAAACTAAGTGTTTATGACTATATTTGTTTCTAGTGTTTTTAATAGTCATTTTCCAAAACATTTTCTTTTAATTAAAAGAAATAACAATAGTGCTTATTCATGAGTTTCCTTTTATAGTAAAAGCAAATGAGAACAAAAAAGAACAACAGAAAAGAATGATATGATTCATTCTTAAAAAACAACCACAGATTTTTGGAGGGAAAGAGAAATATAGAAAAGTTTATGAAAGAAAGCAAAAATAACTTATAATCTTATTATTTAGTGACAACAATTGCAAATATTTTCAAATGATTTCTTCTGGTGTATTTATCTGAATATCGTATACATAATCATATCATTCCCATTGTTGAACTTGCAGAATGTTTCCATTTTTTGCTCTTATGCATAACGCTGTAGTAAAGATCTTGTCCGCACTTTATTTATGAAGTCTTTAATTTCTCATTAATTTTTAGAGCAATATATGCTTAATCAGTTTTAGTCTTATATTTTATATGTAACATGTCATATGTTTTTTAAACTTATGTGACAATTTTGTGTTATAAATCTTATACCATATATTATATATAACATACATTATAATTTTACATTATGCATAATATAATCATAGTTGTATATCTTTTTTAAACAGAAAACAGATGAAAAAGTTAATACTAAAAGGGTAAGGTGATTTCCATAAATATATACATTAAAAAATAATAGAGGAAACCACTAATCATCTGTAGTAAAGCACACTACTTTTTTTTTTAACAGTTCTTATTTCATTATTCAAAGACACGGAAGTTGGGCAATTCAAATGTTGTGGTAAGTGTAGAATTACTTCTTATTAGTAATCATTGGTATTTTTTTCTAATCCTGTTTTTGTAGTTTATCTAATAGAACTACATCAAAATTCATGTTTTCTTTTTGCTTTAAAACTTATACATGCATGAACAAATAGCATTCAATATTTATTGTACATTTAATTTATTTTATATCTCAATAACTATATGTATATTAAAATCATTCACTCAACAGTTATTTTCTGAGTATCTGCTATGTGCTAATCACAATTCCAGAGACTAGAAATATAGCAGTAAATAAAATAAAAAAATTAAAAAAGAAATCCCTGCTGTCCTGGAACTTACATTCTAGAGGCAAAAACAAAACAATAAAACAAGTCAAACATATTGTTTTACATGATGATGAGTACAAGGGAAAACTAGTTTTATCCAAAGGCATTTTAAGAATTATTTTTAAAGATAATTGTCAAAAATATAATTAAATGTAACTAGAAATATTCACTTCTATTTCTAAGATCTCCTTCTTTGTAATTAGACAGTTAGAGAATTTACTAAGATTAGCCAGATACCAGTAACTTGAATTCAGTTCACTTCTAAACCATGTGGTTTAGTGGTAGTTTTTCTTTTTCATTTTAGGATTTAAGAAGTGCTAAGGAACCTACTTTGGTGTTTCAGCTAGAACACTTAATAATAATTTGACTGTAATATTCTTTCTAACCTTCTGACTCACTACCATGGACCAGTTTAGGGAATGAGGAGCATAGTGTATTTTAAACATGTATGTACCTGAGGAAAGGGAAATGCCATTTTAAATGTTTATCCCATTGAATATTCTTACCTATGAGGAGTTGAAAGTTAGATTATACTGGCTTTACAAAACAAATACAAGTTGAATTGGTTAACAAATAACCATTCTATAGGGCTTAAAGGAATTCATTTGATAAGTGATTGTAATATTTGTGAGAAGATTCTATTCAAGCCATGCCTCTAAAGTGAGACCGAAGCAGGTAGCCACATGTCTCTGATGTGCTTTCATTTCCCTCTGCTTGGCATCTTTACATTTTGAGAAAGTGTATCTTAGTCATATTTTTCACTGTCAAAACACATTGTCATTTTTTTGTGTCTCCTGTCCTCTTGTTTCATATGTTGAATTTTAAATGTATAATTTATAAAGGAGATTACTAGATGTGTGCAAGTATAAGAAGATTTTCTAAAGAAACATTTCCATAATAAAAAACAAATTCCCCCAGAGTTGTGTTCATCTGTTCCAGATCGTGCTTAGTAAGTCTGGAAGCAGACACTGCTTTTGTCTGTCAAAGATGCAGGCCAGTGTTCTACTTGTTGGCAGCTGGTGATGGACTGCAGCCCTCAGGAAAGTGCTTCATCAACGTGATGGCAAAGATCCTAGCATAGAGCTACCAAATTTTATTTTATTTCTTGGCTTATTCTCCACATTTCTTTGAAATGCTCACAGAGGGCTGTCTTAGATAACATCTTTCTTGTTCTTTTTTGTCTGGAGCAAGTATAGTGGGTAAAAACAAATAGGAAACCGTCTTTATGCCCAATGCTGAGAAGCCTTTGTGCTCATTGTGTGTGTGTTCGTGTCTCTCAGTCGTCTGTCGTGCATCCCTTGCTGCAGCTCGTTCCTCAACTGCATGAGAGAAGAATGAAGAGATTCAAAGTGGACGTATGTAACACGAACTGCATGCTTGCTTTGCCACTCTGTGTGGGGCAGCTCTTCTGATAATGCCCAGTGGTGGTGTTTTATAAGATACTTTTCTCCAGGATAAACCCCACATAAACACCCAGGTAGCCTAAGGGCATCTGTTTGCTGGAATGTTTTCACACTCAGGAGGAAAAAAATTGCTTCCCTTTCCCATAGTCTGTCCCCTTCTATCTCAAACTATGGGCAGTAAGGAAAGTTGGGATTAGATTCCTTTCCAAGGATCATGGCCCTGGCCAAGGTAGCTCAGTTGGTAAGAGCATGGTCCCCATATGTCATGGTTGCAGGTTTGATCCCCGGTCTGGGCACCAGGGCACATACAAGAATCAACTAGTGAATACATAAATAAATGAAACAACAACTGATGTTGTTCTCTCTCTCTTTCATCAATAGGAAAAGAAAGAACACAGTGTTTCTAGTCATTAGGTAGGAAAAGGAGAAAAGATAAAAGACAATTTATTGCCCCTCTGTGTACAAGGCAAATGGCTGGGATGGCAATCTTTCAATCCACATAGTAAAGTGTTAATAAAACTAATTTCTATCTAAGTATTAAAGTCTTAGTAAAAGTAACACTTTAGGTTCAAGAAGTAAATGTATCAGAAACTAATTGTAGGTGTTTTGTTTTTCCCACGATTAACAAAAATATGGCCCCAAATCATTATCAGTGTTTAAGATCAATATAACTTTGTTAACAGCATTTTAAACTAGAAATTGTGGAGTTTGTATTGTTATTTTAAAAGAATGTTAACTTTTTCAATGATGCTAATTTCTAGGTATTATTTTTAAGTAATGCTTTACATTATTTAAATGCATTCTGGTTTTCAGTCTTATCTGATTTTATTCTTTTTGGCAACTCTGCTGGTACTTATATAAGTATTGCTATCCTCAGTTTACTAAGGGGAAAGCAACTGGGAACAGTTAAAGGTATTTCCCCAGATCACTCTAGTAAGTGAGATTAGAAATTCCAATAGAATCTTCTGACTTCTAGTCTTGGCACATATTTTTTTCACTATACCATTTCCTTTATAATCTAGTCTTGGATACTTCTACTATTTTGTTATATTTTCCCTCATTTTAAATGTCATCTTAATTTTATTTTTCCTAAATGTACTAACAAAAGTCTTCAAATACTTTTAAAAATTCATACAGTTTAGGCAAATACATTACTCAAAATTTATTTTTGTGGTCACTATTTCCTCCTTAAATTCTTCACATTCTTAAACTAAGCTTCCATGAAGGAAGGCAGTATTTGCTGCCAGTCTGAATGAGAAATGTAAGTAGAACTGCAGTAGCCCCTTAAAATTACACAATTTCTAGTCCGAAAAGAATCAAATCCATTCTGATCAAGCTTTTATAGTCTTGAAGTAATATTGTCTTTTTTGAATTAAATTCTACTCTCTGAAGTTTGCTTGACTTATGAATAGTGTAAGATTTAAAGATTCAATTTCTTAAAATATATCAACAAATTGTGAGTTTACCATATCACTTCAGACTATATTTCCAGACAACTAGCTAAAAATATAAACTGTGACTTGGCAGTATAATCTGTTGGACAAATATAACTCCTATTTCAGCAGGACAAGTTTCCTAGGAATCTATGAAAGAAAAGAATGTAAGACATGAATAGAAAAAAAAAAAAAAATACAGTAGTGTTAGCTTTGCTGGGCCTAAGTCACCTAATTTTAAATCATACTTGTGAAAGTGAACTATTGGGTTCTTAAAGAAAATGAGTTTTTAGATCCTCAAACATGTGCATGCTAACACTTTTGCAAAATTTTGTTTGCTAGACATTGTCACTTCCAACCCCCCAACTCTTTTATCCCCACCTCTCAAATTCTTTTTATGTACTCTTCTCTCTCTAATGTTAAGACTAAAACCTGTATGCTTGGATTTGAAAGTTTAGCATGTTTTAAGTTACATTTTGTCCAACCTTTCTTTTTTCTTATGTAATCATATATATGTATAGTTTCTATGTGTACATTTTTAGATATGAAAAGTTTTTCATAAAATTACTCAAATTTTAAGTAATTTGAGTAGATTTATAGTCAGGATGAGACTAGTATAAAATATTGAAAATTTAAGATATATTTGTTGTAAAGCAAAAATGTCAGAATTTTAATAGATGTCAGATCTATTTCTTAGAATTTAAAAACACGATTTTACTTATATTATGGAATAATTTTAAAAGGTCTTGTTGACAAATTTTATACCGATTGCCATCCTGGTATTTTTATAATAAGTAGTTGGTTAAAATAGGAAACTATAAGAACCAATTTTATGGAAACCATAAAATGTTAAATATTTTCCTGTAAAGTTAAAAATGAAATGTTTAAGAAAAGAATCTCAAAAATATACCTAATATGAATAATTGGTTTGTTCCTATTTGGTATTTTTTTCATTACCATTTCTATAAATATAATTATATTGGGAAAATCTCTTCTGAAGTCTCATTGAATAAATATAGTTTACCAAAATTGTCCCTTAATTTCTATAGGAATATTGTGTATTTTATCTCTGACACAATTCTATTTTATATTTTTTCCTATTGCTGTGTTAGCAGATATAATATATATTTTAAAGAAATTATTTTATTCTAACAAAATGCTGAAAGGAGATTTTAAATATAGTTAATTATGAAGTATCTGTCATTTCTCTTTCTTCTTATGAATATACATTGTGCCAAACTTCCTAAAAGTAGATTCTTTATATTAATAAGAAAATCATTTTAAAATACAACATTCTGGTGATACTGCTAGTTGAAAAGTCTTCAGGTATAAATACAAAGATTAGTTATTGTTATGAATTAGATACTGAAGTCCTTGATTCCCTCTTTGTTAATTATGATTGTTGAAAATGACTTTGAGCTTCAAATTAATTTTCAGTTATTTTTACTGTTATTTGATTTGTAATGTCTTCATTTTCTCTTCCAGGAAGAATTCCAAAATCCTATTGCAATCCAGAGTCGAAGATACTTTTTATTCAGGGTATGCATGTATTTTTTTTTTTAAATCAATTAATAGCAAAATTGAAAAATACTTTCACTGTGCAGTTATTTACATTAACTCATAAAATTTAAATGAATTTATAGATTTCTGACATCAAATGTCATAGTCTGAGATTCACTTCTGTCACCAATTTATTGCTTTAATATTATGGCATCTGTAATTTCTTCTCTAATCCACTGCTTATGTTTGGAAATACCCCAGATAACATTCACCTATTTTGCAGTTTAGTTCCATAAAATTTCATGTGCAGGAAATAAGTGTCTTTTTTTTTTTTTTTTATCCTCACCCGAGGACATTTTTCCATTTTTTGTTCAGATAGAGCGGGAGGGAGAGAGAGGAAGAGAGAGAGAGAGAAACATCGATGTGAAGGGACACATCGAGTGGCTGCCACCCGCACGACCAACCAGGGCCAGGGACAAACTGCAACCGAGGTACATGCCCTTAGCGGGAACCGAACCCGGGTCTCTCTGTACCGCAGGCCCACGCTCTAACCGCTGAGCCAAACCGGCCAGGGCAGGAAATGAGTGTCTTAAACATGTATTACTCCTATAAGTAGACAAACTTTATCATTGCATTTAGTATTTTGTATGTCCAAATTGTAACCAAATCGCAACTATACTTTCTAAAATGTTTGTATCCCTAATGCATTACCAGAAAATTTTCATTCGTTAATTCAGCAGCTACTTACTGAATTTCTACTAGGCACTGGACAATGTATCAAAGGCTGGGAGACATTGCCAGATAAAATTTTATTCTTATGCTCCAGGAGTTTACAGCCTAATACAGGAAATTGATAAAAAAAAAAAAAATACATGATTGCCCTGGTCAGTTTGACTCAGCGGTTAGAGCGTTGGCTCGTGGACCAGAGAGTCCTGGGTTTGGTTCCCACTAAGGGCACCTACCTCGGCTGCAGTTTGTCCCCGGCCCTGGTTGGGGTTGTGTGGGTGGCAACCAGTTGATGTGTCGATCTCACATAGATACTTCTCTCTCTCTCTTCCCCTCTCTCTCCCTCCCGCTCTATCTGAAGATAAATGCAAAAGTGTCCTCCGATGAGGATAAAAATAAATAAATAAATACATGATAAATAAATAAATAATACAGGAAATTGATAAATAAATATGTTAAATGCACCTTTAATCCAAGGGCTGTGGTTTCTAAAAGAAAGGCATATAACCTAGGCTGGGGAGTGAAAGAGGTACAGAGAGGTTTTAAGGGCTGAGTTTGAAGAATCAATAGGAATTAGCCAATGAAATACTTAGCTAAGGAATTTCAACTTTATTGTAGAGGTAAGGAGAGCCATATGGTAAGATTTGCATTTTGAAAACCAATTCTAATAACAAATTGGAGAATGAATTGAAGGAAGGAGCTAGACTACACAGTGGAAGAAATAACACCATGCATCAGGATCATTATTAGGCTGCTTTCTATGAAAATTAATTTCCCTCCTTCGTTACACTGATTTATTACTAATTTGTTATTTTCCAGCCACGCAATGGAAGAAGATCAGAAAGTTACATTTGAAATGGTATGTGTTTCATAATTCAACCCAGTTTGACGATTTCTGTTGTTTTCAGATATTCACAAATGAAACTATTCTCAATATATTCCTATTATATGACTGCAAGTATACATTAATATTCTATATAAATACTATAATTCTAAGAGCTGTGAGTGATATGTTATGGAAAATGTCAGTATTTTAGGGCAAGATTTGCTTTATTTATGTCATATATTCCTCAGGCTATGCTATAATGGTCATCATCATTGATTTTGTAGACATTGGCCTCACCATCATTTGTTGTGCAAGTACATGTCAGGGATTGTATTCTTACTGTGGTAATCAGGGTCCAATGTAATGGGTCAGAACTTACAGAATGAATGTATTTCTATCTTCCAAATGATTCACATTCAAAGATTCTTTATAAAAGCTGTGATTTACCATTTCTAGAGAATAACAAAATTTGAAAGACATGAGATCATAACTTCTACTTTGGGACTCCCAGTTCCCACTTCAATGCTGGAGTTACAGTAGACACGTAGTGGCTATTTAATGGCCCTACATGTTTAATAAATGTTAATCCTAATATCTTATTATGCTTTAAATTTTGAAATTAAACCCAAATGCAGATTGATAATTTTATACCACAGAAATAAAAGTATATTCTACCACTTTATGTAATCCTAAATGCAGATTCTTTACTGAACATATTTTTGCAAATATTTCATTCACATCATTTATCTCAACTCTTAGTACATATTTAGCTTTAGAGGGCTAAAATTTTTAATATGTTCTCAAGCCCCAAAATCAAAATGCACTATTTCTAACTAAAGACGATATCAACTTAAAATTATATAATATCTAGAAAGTAAACATTATGAAAACACTGAATATTAAAACTTATGGGGTGGCTGAGTTGGTTGAGCGCAGCCCTGTGCACTGAAAGGTCGCCCGTCTGATTCCCGGTCAGGACACACGTCCAGGTTATGGAATCGAGTCTAGGTCCAGGCCAGGTTGGGAGGCAGCCAATCAATGTTTCTCTCTCACATCAGTGTTTTTCTCTTTCTCTCTTCTCCCTTCCCCTTTCTCTAAAATGAATAAAAACATATTAAAAACAAAAGAAAACTTATGGAACTCTGCCAAAGCCATATTCAGTGACAAATTTAATGCTTTAAACACAAGCAAGAAACAATGAGTGGATTAAGAATTTAACTCAGTAAGTTAAAAGGAAACAAGATGAACCTTAGGAAAGCAAAAGGAATAAAAGTATAAATTGAAAAATAAAATAAGTTATAAAATTGTGAAGTACAAGAATTGGTAAATAAAGCAAATTATCTTATTATTTGCAAAAAAATAATAATAAACTAGTCTAATTAGCCTAGCCTAATTAAGAAAAAGGGAGAAACCATAAATATGCAAAAATACAAATGAAAGAGACAAATTAAAACAGATTTTGAAGAAATTATAAAGGAGTGCTTTGCAAATCTCTGTGCTTATCTATTTAGAAACCTACATAAAATAGAGGATTATCTAGTAAAGTAGATGCTACCCAAAATTCACCTCAGGAGAAAGAAAAAAAGTCTAAACAGACTAATGGCCATGGAAGAAAATTGAAAACATTTTCCAGAAACTCTTCCCTCAAAAAGTCCTAGTCCAACAGATTTTGAATTTTTCTAGCTCAGAGAAGGAAGAAAAATGTCAAAATATTTTCTATGAAGCCAGCCATATTTTTTTTTTATGAAGTTAATACCCAAATCTTATAAAAGTAGTATAAAAAATGGAAACTGAGCCATGGCCAATGTGATTCAGTGGTTAGAGTGTGGGCCCGGCCTATACAGCAAAGGGTCATGTGTTTGATTTCTGGTCAAGGGCACATACATGGGTTGCAGGTTCAATTCCTGGCCCATCAGGGAGACAACCAATCCATGTGTCTCTCTCACATCAATGTTTCTCTCTCTCCCTTCATCTCTTCCACTCTCTCTAAAAATCAATGGAAAAAAATATCTCGGGTGAGGATTAACAACAACAAAAAAAGAAAACTCAAGGTCAAAAATATTTATAAATTTTAATGCAAAACTTTAAAGAAATACTAGTCAACTATATTCATAAGTGTATTTAAAGAATTTCACGACCCTATGAGTGATGTTTGTTCCGGCAACTTAGGATGGTTCGACATTAGGGAGTCTATTAAAATATTTTCACCATTAGAAGAAAAATTATACGATTATCTCAATAGATGCTTTTGGTAAAATTCCACATCAATTTCTGTGGAATTTTAAAAGAAGAAAGAGATGATTTTTCTCTTCACATTATTTATATAATGGTTTCAAACAAAGTTAGTACAGGCTTGATACTAAAACACTTTGGAGCATTTCCATTAATATCAGGAACAAAGCAAGGATGCTCTGTCACCTTTTATTTAATGTGGTTCTTATGCATTAGCCAATCAGTTGGACAAGAAATAAATAAATGATACACATGAGAAAATGAAGAAAAATTTAACGTGATCATGGGGCATAGTTCAGAACTTAGATTTTTAAACTATTTCTGGCATTAACTCCTGTTTCAACAAAGGCCTGTTATATTCATCTCAGAAATATGAGCCAACATATTCTTTTTGGTATTTTTTTATTTTTTTTATTCATTGTTTAGAGGGAGAGGAAGGAAGAGAGAGATGGAAACATCGATGAGAAAGAACATCTATTGGCTCCCTCCTACATGCCCCCCACTGGGGATTTGGCCTACAACTTGGGCATGTGCCCTGACTGGGAATTGAATCGGTGACCTCTTAGTGCATGGGTCAATGCTCAACCACTGAGCCACACCAGCTGGGCAAACCAACATATTCTTAATTTTTCAAGGAAATAAGAACGAAGTTGATGGAAAAAGAAGCTATCTTTTATTATATTACAAATGTAGAGATATTTACATAATGTGAACAAAAAATAGTTTAATACCAAATGGAAAAAAAGGTTTGTGATTATAACATCAAACTAAGTACTAGCATGCTCACAAATGTGAAATAGAATTTAATCTATGATTTGATCAATTTAGTAAAAAATTCTCTCTGAAACTGAAATAAATAGCTTATTTGGATTGTTTCCTAAATTAGATTCTACATAGACTGATTCACTTGGGATTTCATTTTCTTTTATCAGTTAAAAAAAATAAAAATTCAGTAATTACCTTTCCTTTGTTTTTGTCATATGATTATCTGAGGTCTTACTTTGTCCTGATGACTTACATTTACTTATAAAGTAGTTCCACATATGGCAGAACGATTTAATTGCAAATGCATAAGGAAAAATATGAGTAATAACTGCAACTTTTAAAATATTTTATTCACAAATTTTGTTGCTATCAATAAGCTTTAGGGAATCACTTCTACATAGTTAAGTCCTATAAAATTTTGGAAAATACAGATATACAGAGTAAATGTTTCAGCAAAGAGAGATTAAATGATAGCTTAAAATATACAAACTGAAGAAAAGCTGAGAAATACCTCAGATGTCAGTGTTATCATACATGACAAAATATTTATAGATACATCTATATACAAACATTATACACACATTCACACACTCATTTATACTTCAGTCTAACTTCAATTTTTCTCTTTTTTACAGAATACCAACTATTTTCCACAGAAGCAACGCCATGGAATACACAATATACTGATATGTTGTACGTGTGTGTGTTTTTCTCAAAAACAATCCTTGCTAAGTTTAACATATTTGAGAATTCTTGTGTTGTAAACATTCTCAGTAAAAGTTTGTAGAAATTGTAAATGTTTAATTTGTTGACAATTTTAAAAGCCTCTTAAAATATCTTCACTTAGTGTTGTAATGATAAATAGTGTATAATAAAGCTGTAAATGATGGTGTTCCTTAGATCCCTGCAGCTTTTGATACGCATGCTCTTTTGTTATATTTACTAAAGGCATTTGGTAGAGTTGAGTTTTAATGCACTATTTTAGTTTATCCTAGTTGGATTTTGTCAGCGACAAAATCACCAGCTATTATAAATACCAGAATGCTCAATAGCTAACAATCTTAGAATGTAAATACCAAACAAACCTGCTGGAGGAATACCAACTAAACCTATTGGGGAATTTGACCACGATCCATACAATAGCCCAATAAGCAAGTTCTGATTTATATTCTGTAAAATTAGTGTATGATTACTGCAAGCATATCAAGGGACTAGTTTTTTCTTCCAACTAGTATTATTCACTTTATTTTAAAATAAGTTGTTTCTCCTTGCAACATCTGAAAGGCAACCAGTCTTGTCCATTACAAGAAAGAAAACAGTCTTACTAGTAGAGAATCATGAATACACTGGGAGAACTTTTAACATCAAATCAGTGTTTGGTGGACACAGAATTAACCTCAGATGGATGTTGAGATTATCTGCCTTCAGGTTCCCTTGGGTTTTTCCTTGCTGACACACCAACTCTTGCATAATCACCTACTCCACCAAGCAGGTTACTGGCTGATGAGAAAAGGGTGGCTCTCTACACAGATAAGATTAGGTTTTATATTCTTTAGAGTAGAGTATCTGACAAATATTTGTCTTGTTAATGTTGACCACTGATTATAGCTTAAATTATGCCGTATACTAATAAAGTCCCTGAATTTCACTTCTCAATCTGCATGAAGAACATAGGGAAAGAATGAAACAGAATAGGTCAAAAAGTACATTGGTCTTTGAAAAATGAATTGCCTTGACAAGATGGGAACTTGAGAGCTGAGAGGGCCTCCTGCTCTAAAGCCGCAGATGCAGAGAACAGCGTTAGGTAGTGCTATGCACAGTGATCAAATAGCATGAATGTGGATTGTTAAAATAAGGAAAGGGAATGGAACACTAATTTAAGCATCAGTTCCCAGGGCCTCTCAGAAATCCAGAGACAGGCCACTTACATGATCTAGGGTTCCCATGATATTAAAATGAAGAAGAGAAGAAGAAGGAAGAAAAAGAAAAAGAAGAGAAAGAGGAAGAAGCTGGGGAAGGAGGAGGAGAAGAAGAAAAAGAAATACCAAAGCATGGTTACAAAAATTTTGGATGTTTTAAAATATTTTATATTTAACACATAAATATTTTCTACAGAAACACAACAAAACATATAGGCTACTGTGAGTATAGCATAGCACTACAGATGGAGTGGTCCAAAGCTGAGTCCAAATTTAACATTGTGCCCTTAACATTTTTTAAAATAATTTTTTAAATTGATTTTTTATAGAGAGAAAGGGAGAGAGAGAGAGAAACATCAATGAGAGAGAACATCAATTGGCTGCCTCCTGCATGCCCCCCACTGGGGATCTGCCCGCAACCTGGGTATGTGCACTGACGGGAAATGAACCGGTGACCTCTTGGTGCATGAGTCGAGGCTCAACCACTGAGCCACAACAGCTGGGCAAAGAAAAACCCAAAACATTTCTTTTTCTTTTCTCCAAATCCTGTCAGTATATCTCCGTGACCATGTGTGTATAAACTTATTTGGCAATAACATCAACTGTTTACCCCATGATCCTGGCAGCTGCCAGTAAACATTTCCTTAACCTAAACACCAAGGAACCCAACTATCTAGGTTTCCTACCTAAAGACAGAGCTCCTGTCTCCTAACCAGAGTGTTTTTAAGATGAGGGTAGAGAGTCATTTGGGAATCGGATGAAAGCTCTGGTACTTAACTCACCCCCCCCCCCCCCCGCACTCCCAAATTGTACACATACAACAAAAATTATATGTACAGTTGAGACCTGGGGCTTAAGTATCCCTTAAAATCCATCCAAATCCAGGCTGTGGACTGCTGGTTAAGAACTCTTGTGAAGGGTTCTCTCCCCAGGATTTTGTTATGACTTTATGAAGACATGACTTCAGGATTTAAGGGTGTCAGGGGGCTCGAAACCAACGCACTGATTTAGTGGTGGAGCGTGGAATGCCAGCATCAGTATCACTTGGAGAATGGGAAAGACACAGGTTGGGATAAATACTCCAACCACACCTAGGCCCCGCCTCCGCGTTGCCTGGAAACAGCTACGCTGGACGCTGGACGCACAGGCTTGCGAGTGAGAGGCCCTTGTTCCCCCTCCCCCTCTGGGTGGGTGGTGGAAACCGCTAAACCCTTGGGCGGTTGTCTTCCTGCCTGGAGGAGGCGTGGTGGGAGTCCGGAGTCCCTCGCCCTCGCCCCGAGGGCCAGACGACGCTGTAGCCTGAGGGTTGAGGCTGAACATCATGCAGGTCAGAGTCCCAGGCCCCAGGCAACTCTGAGGCACCCAGCAGGGTTCCCAACTGGGCCTGAGGCCAAGCGTGTTTTTAAGATGAGGGTAGAGAGTCATTTGGGAATCGGATGAAAGCTCTGGTACTTAACTCACCCCACCCCCAAATTGTACACATACAACAAAAATTATATGTACAATTGGGACCTGGGGCTTAAGTATCCCTTAAAATCCATCCAAATCCAGGCTGTGGACTGCTGGGGAGGGCGACCCAGGGGCTGGGTTCTAACATTTATTTTTGGTAAAAGCTAAATTTTTCGTGGTCTCAAAATTTGAGAGAAATCCAGAGTACTGTAACTGAGAGAGAGCCAGTATTTTCAAAGTGTGTCGCTGGAGGTTCGTTGGGATTGCGTTACACACCTGCACCTTGAAAGTCTTAACTGCTGCACTATTTCTGACTTAAGAAATAGACCAGCAACTTTAGCCCAAGTGTATTCAGTTTAAATATTCTGTCCCAGTACCTTAAAAAAACAATCAGAATGAAAACACTAGTTGCATTTATCTTGAGAATGACCAGCTGTCCCTGAAATTTCCCCTACCTGATCGCAAAAGCTCTGTCAGACCTACATTTATTCTTTAAAAAGGCTGCTTCTTTCTGTCTAAAGCTTCCTTATGAAACAGATGCCTGTGCTTTTGTTTCTTTATCAGAGTAAATTCTTACATTCTGACTTACAGAAACAACTTCTTCCCATCTTGCTTCCCCAAATTAAAATCACTGTGATTTTTCTTGTTTTACATATTTAATTTTGGTATTACTATAACTGTATTACTTATTAGGATTTTTTAAAACATAAACTACAGCCCTGGCCGGTTTGGCTCAGAGATTAGAGCGTAGGCCTGCGGTCCAGAGAGACCTGGGTTTGGTTCCCGCTAAGGGCACGTATCTCGGTTGCAGTTTGTCCCTGGCCCTGGTTGGGTTGCGCCGGTGGCAACCACTCCATGTGTCCCTTTACGTTGATGTTTCTCTCTCTCTCTTCCTCTCTCGCCCTCCCACTCTATCGGAACAAAAAACGAAAAAAATGTCCTCAGGTGAGGATAAAAAACAACAACAACATAAACTACATATAATATAATTTAATATAATTTAAATTGATAGTCCTTTTATATTAATTATAGATTACTAGCAAGTACATTTTATCCAGTATATGAAGACATTTCTGTACGTTGTGGTAAATAAACCGAGAAAAATTAAACAAAATAATTCTATGTATAATCACAAAAACAGTAAACGTCTTAGGAATACATGTAACCAAGGAGGCAAAAGAGTTGTACACTTAACACAGCAAAACATTGCTGAAACAAAGAAGACATAAATAAGTAATAAAACATCACACCTTTGTATATTGGAAGACCTAATAAAAAGATGTCAAAACTTCCCAAAGCAGTCTACAAATTCAGTGCAATCCCTATCAAAATCCCAATGACATTTTTTGTAAAACTAGAAAAAAAAAATTCTAAAATTCCTATAAAATCTTAAGAGATTGAAAAAAAGTGAACAATCTTGAAAAAATGAACAGAGATAGAGGGTACAAACTCTCTGATTTCAAAATATACTACAAAGTTACAGTAATCAAAACAGTGAGTACTGGCAGAAGCCCACACAGACCAATGGGATAGAATAGAACTCCCAGAAAGAAGCCCTCACATATACAGTCAAATGATTTTCAGTAAGGGTGCCAAAATCATTTAAGTGAAAGGGTAGTCTCTTTAACAAATGGTATTGGGGAAATGATATCCACATGCAGAAGAATGAAGTTGGATTCCTAATTCACATTATAAACAAATATTAACTGAAAAAGGATCAAAGACCTAGAAGTGAGAACTAAAACTGTAAGTCACTTATAAGAAAACATAGGGAGAAATTGCTGACATTGGATTGGCAAAGATTTCTTGAATATGACACCAAAAACACAGGCAATAAAAGAAAAACATAAATAAATTGGACTTCATCAAAATTTAAGCTTTTATGCATCAAAGGATACTATCAATAGAATGAAATGCAAACCACAGAGAGAACATGTTTTCAAAATATATATTTGATAAAAAATTAATATCCAAAATATATAAACTCCTAATATTCAACACCAAAAAGATAAACCAATTAAAAATAAACATATCAAAAGATGCTTCATGGCTATGTTATTAGGGAAATGCAAATTAAAACAAGAGACCCCCTACACACCTATTAGAATGGCCAAAACCTGGAACTCTGGCAATACCAAGTGCTAGTGAGGATGTGGAAGCAATAGGAACTTTCTCTCATTCATTGCTGGTGGGAATGCAAAATGATACAGCCTTTGGAAGACAGTTTGTATGTTTCTTATAAAACTTAACATATTCTTACCATTTAATCCAACTATCACATTCCTTAATATTTACCTGAAGGAGTTGAAAACTT